TCTCTCTCTCTCTGTCTCCCTCTCACATAGAATTACTAGAAATGCATGTAGTCCGCCTGAACTACGGAGCCTCCTAGCTCAGTGAGGTGGTCTCCCGTGCTGAGCTCGTGGCTGCGGGGGAGCCGCGCTCAGTACCTCTGCCGAGCGTCCCTGGGAGGGCTCATAGGTGCAGGAAAAATCAAAAGTCACAATTTGAAGTATGATTTCTGTGGAATACGTGTTGCTTTTACACTGTCAGAAAATTAAGAACAGAAAGGTTAGTTTTTTGTAAATCGGGAGGTTCCTTAGCCTGGGTAACTTCTAAACAATGAACTTTATTTCCATTCTGCTCAAGTCTGCAGTGTGAAGTGGACGTGCCTGGGGGACCTGCTCCTCATACGGTGCCTTCTCTGTGTCCTCAGACGGCAGAAAGGGCAGGGTCCTTACGGCCTCATCGACCCCGTCTCAGTGCCACCACGCTGGGGACTGGGTTGCAGCGTGTGAATTCTGGGGGACGCAGCCTTCAGACCCTAGTAGGTGTTAGGAGACACTGAGTCAGGAGAAGTCAGAGGTTTCGAACTGGAAGTTTGTCATTGTATTTTGAGTCAACCATTCTAAAGATTTATGCTTTACCCCAATTATTATATTTTACATTTTACCCTTTTATACTTATTTAGAAAGAAAGATGCCGAGTGGGTTTTGTGTGTGTGTGTGTGTGTGTGTGTATATATATATATTGTTTTGTAGCTGGCAAATCAGAAGATGTGTGTCCAACTTCTAATGTAGCATCCCAAATTACTTTGAAACATTTGGGAATATGTCTTCACTAATATTTTGCCTGTAATAATTGAGTAGATGTTCTCATTTGGGAATGGCTTGGAAAATATAAGGTGACCCATTTAAAGTGAGCTCTGACTTAGTCATTGTTGGGGGTGTTGGTGACTTGGCTTTTTTCATCCCCTTTTAAGAAGAGAAATTATGACAAATTCTGTTTTCAACAAATGGCCTGGAAGTATTTCTGCTGTCACGTACTTTCACAGAACCTCGCCACTCCCACAGGCGGGCGGAATCGGTTTGCGTGTGGGGGAATGATGTGAGCTCTGAGGCTCCGCTTCCTCCTGGTTCCCTGAAGCCACACGCTGGCAACGCCAGTGTCCACAGCCTTGGCTTTCGTATGCTCTCTGCCTTTCTGTTCTAAAGAGTCCCAGCACGTCCCTGAGGAGGAAGCGCGGTGACCTGGGAAGCGAGCACCTCCACACTGGCAGGAACGCGCTCACGCCGTCGTTTCCCATGTGTGCTCCTCAGTGTGTTCCCCCTGCCCCGGGTTTCGCAGCAGCTCCCAAATAGCACGTCATCTGCCCTAGAGTGTCCAGTGAGGAGTCTGCTTCCTGAGATGGCTCTGAAGCACACTGCAGTAGAAACTTCAGCTTGTTCCGCACTACCTGTACCTCAGCTTGGAAATTCCCCACAGGAATCTAAAGATTCCTAAAGACTAAGCATCCATCACATATTTTTGTTTTCTTTTGAAGCAAATTATCCCATGAAAGTAGCATGTTTATATTCTATCCAAATAACACAAATAAGGGTAATTTGTCCCGGGGCTGGCACTGTGGTGTATCGGGTAAAGCCACTGCCTGCAGTGCCGGCATCCCGTATGGGCACCAGTTCAAGTCCCGGCTGCTCCACTTCCGATCCAGCTCTCTGTTATGGTCTGGGAAAGCAGCAGAAGATGGCCCAAGTGCTTGGGCCCCTGTACCTATGTAGGAGAACCAGAAGAAGTTCCTGGCTCTTGGCTTCAGATAGGCACTGCTCCAGCCATTGTGGCCAACAGGGGAGTGAACCAGTGGTTGGAAGACCTCTCTCTCTGCCTCTCCTTCTCTCTGTGTGTAACTCTTTCAAATAAATAATCTTAAAAAAAAAAAAAAAGTAGGGAGCATCAGGGACTTGAACCAGCACCCATGTGAGATACCATCTTTACAGTCAGTGGCTTAACCTGGTATGCCACAACATTTTTTTAAAGAAAAGATTTATTTATTTCAAAGGTGGAGAAAGAGAGAAAAATCTTCCATCTACTGGTTCATTCCCTAGATGGCCTCAGTGGCTAGGACTGGACCAAGTGGATGTCAGGAGCTTGCAACTCCATCTTGGTCTCCCATATGGGTGACAAGAGCTCCAATCCCTGGGCCATCATCTACTGCCTTCCCAGGTGCAGTAGCAGGGAGCTGAAGGAAGTGGAGCAGCTGGGACGTGAGCTGGGCTCTCTATGGGATGCCGGCCTTGCAGGCAGTGGCTTAACCTCCTGGGCCACAGTGCTGACCCCTCAACTTGGTTTTCAGTATCACTTTCACAGAGCTGGAAGTGGAACTGCCAGGCATGTATTGCATCAAAATTGAACATCTTGTTTAAGTTTACCATGTATAAACAGATGGCTGTTAGATCTGAGTGGATCTAAAGCGGACCACAGGTCCTTGGGACTAGCTTGCTGGTGTGGCAGCCATCACCATGTTGTCCGTCACTGCCCTACCAGGCTTGATTGTGCCATTCCTGTCCAACCATGTCCCAGCGTGGCAGGCGCCCTGGAGCCACCTGTGCTGGGTGTGAGTCGCTGAGTGTCCAGGCCGTGGGCTGGCCTTAGGTCATCTCGGTGGACCTCAGTGTCCTTGCGTCTGTTAGCTATTTCCATACGGACGTCCGCATGCCTGACTTTTCTGTCGGCGCAGTGAGGGTTAGGTAGGGCAGAGTCTTCAGAGGCCAGCAGTGAAGCCAGGAGAGTTTGTCCTGTTTGGTAACTGCAGGGGCTCCCGAGGACGTCGCGTGCTGCCGAGAACGCTGCCCCCCAGTGTGTTCCCAGCGTGAGTGCTGCTCCTGATGCGTTGGCCGCGTCAAAAATTGAGACCAAGCTATCTGGTGTTCCAGAAGGCAGGAGCATGGCTTCCAAATGCACAGGCAAACCCCAGTCTGCGTGCCACAGGACCCAGAGGAAACTGACTAGGTAGCTGCTGCAGAAGTGCCCCTGTCGGGGGCCCCCAGCGTGACCGTCTGGGAGTGGGCTATGCTGGGGGGTCTGCACTCGTCTCGGTCGTGCACCCATTGCAGATGCAGAAGGTTTTGGTGGTTGCTGCGCCTTGCGGTGAGCTGCACAGGGAGGCATCTGGCAGGACCAGGAAGCGGCCTGCACCCTTCAGCCTTGAAGTCCCCAGCATGAGCTCACCAGCGAGGGTTTAGTGGTTAGTGGTTAGAGACTTGGACTCCACTCACAGGCTGCTTCCAGTCTTCATGTCACTTCAGAAGAGTTATTTGAGAGCAAGGCTCTGTGCCTCAAATTGGTTGATTTGAAATACTTAAGAATTGCCAATGATGTATTTGCAAACATCAATGTGAAGCAAATTGAGTTTAACACTGAATTCTTTCAAGCATAAGCCACTGTTAAACATTGTTAAGCTCAGTCATAGACTTGAAAGGTGCAATGTCTTTGAGAGGTAATTCTAATTAAAAATTACAGACTGGTGCACCAAAAAAAAACAAAACAAAACACCACCAAAACAAAACCAAACCAACATAGACTACTACATTATTATAAAGCAGGCAAAAGAGAGAATAGCTCATTTTAAAAAGGTTTATTTATGAGCGAGAGAGAGAATGTCTTCCGCTGATGGCTTCCTTCGTAAATGACCACAGGAGCCAGGGCTGGATCAGGCTGAGGCTGTCGCCTGTGTGGGTGGCGGGAACTCACATACTTGGGCCATCATCTGCTGCTTGCTGGGTGCAGAAGCAGGGACTGGGTCGGGGCAGAGCAGGCAGGACTCCAGCCGACGTTCTGATATGAGATACGGCCATCCTGAGCAGCAGTCTAACGCCCTCTGCCACAGTACCTGTCCCAATAACCAGCTTTTAAACATCAAGTTTTTTCTGGGACAGGTATTTGGCCTGGCACTTAGGCTCTGGTTAGGATGCCCGTGTCCAGTACTGGGGCACTTGGGTTCAATAACCAGTGCTGGCTGTTGGCTCCAGCAGACCACAGAGGCAGTGGTGATGGCTCACGCGACTGGGCACTCGCCACCCGTGTGGGAGACCTGGATTGCCTTCCCAGCTCCTGGCTTCAGCCCCACTGGGGGTCGTTGCGGGCACTTGGGGGGTCAGTGGGAAGGAGCTCACTCTATTTTATCTGTCCCAAATAAATAATTTTGTGTGTGTGTTTAAGTTCATCCAAAACTTCAGCATGATAGCATAGATATAAACTTAGTACCCAGTATAAACTGAAGCTGGTTAGATTTCCAGATGAGAAAACAGAACAAGACTTCCCATACCTGTTCTCAAGTTTAGGCTGTGTTCCCACAGCAGATCCGCAGACATGGCTCTATCCTGTTAGTGTTCTTGTTGTCAGCAATAAAATACAGTAAGTAACTACCTTTCAAGGACAAGCATCCACCATCAGGAACTGAAGTTCTAAAACATATGGCTTCATTAGATTAGTTCTGTGGAAGAAATGCTATTTTAGTATTGTTACTACTTTTTTTCTATTTTTTTAGCCACAGTTTCATTTTAAACACCGTTTGCATGGACAGATAGAGATACCCATAGCTTCTAGTCCCTTATCTCAGTTTTAGTTTGTTCCCTGAATCAGCTTCTAGTTTTTCATGTTAATATAGGAGACGTTATAATTCTCATGCACACACACACCTTTTAAATGACTTTGACCATGAGCTTTTTGAAAATTAGAATTTCTCATTTTTTTAAGGGAAAAGGTTTGTTGGGGGATACCTGACAGACAGGAGGGAAGGGTCGAAGAAGGAAAAGAGGGAGAAAGTTTAAGAGATGGAGAGAGAGAAAGAGAGAGCAAGCAAGAGAGCAGAATTTCTCATTCATGATTATATGGTGTCTTGGACTTTCCCCACGTAGTTCTGGTGCTGTGCCTGTGAAATCTTGGAGCTTTGTGGGGCTGAATTTGGGACATCAAAGAGGCATGCTCATGGCTATCCTCGGGTGTTTATTTTGGATCATGATTTTTGTTCTCTTTGCAGCTGTCCCCTTTCCTCCAACCCAGCGGCTTACTTTGAAGGAAGTATTTGAGAATGGGAAACCTAAAGTGGAGGTTTTGAAAAACCATCTGGTAAAGGAAGGCCGGCTGGAAGAGGAAGTAGCCTTAAAGATCATCAAAGATGGGGCTGCCATCCTGAGGCAGGAGAAGACCATGATCGAAGTGGAGGCTCCGATCACAGGTGCGGAGAGTGCGCAATGCCACTGAGCTGGGGCTGCTCCCGAGAAATGAGTCCATGTAGCCAACTAAAGCACGTGGCGTAATTTTTCTGGGAATTGTGAGACAGTCCTATTCTTCAGATTGGTTAGGATGTTTGTTGTTCATTGAAAAAATACAGTGTTCAATGTTTAGTATTTCCAGTTGGTCTTTTTAGTATCAGTAGATAGATTGCGATTACACAGCAGTCCAGTCAAAAGCTACAGTGATTGGGGCTGGCTTTCTGGCGTTAGTTTGTGTTCTAGCTGCTGCAGCCCCAGCTACTGTGGCCATCTGGGGAGTGAACCAGTAGATAAAAGATTCTGTCTTTCTCTCTCTGTAACTCTGCCTTTCGCCTTTCAAATAAATAAATCTTTTTTTTTTTTAAAGCTGCAATGATTTAAATTAAAAGTTATACTGGAATACATGTTGGTATATTGCCTTTTTTCTTCTAAGATGTTATTTTGGGGGGCCAGCATCCCATGTGGGTGCCGGTTCAATTCCCAGCTGCTCCATTTCTGACCCAACTCCCTGCTAATGTGCCTGGGAGAGCAGTGGAGGATGGCCCAAATGTTTGGGCCCTGCCACCCATGTGGGAGACCCAGAGGAAGCTCCTGGCTCCTGACTTCAGATTGGCCCAGCTCCAGCCATCGTGGCCCTTTGGAGAGTGAACCAACAGATAAAAGATTCTCTCTCTCTGTCTCTGTGGGGAGCAACTGAGACTAGACTAAGTTACTGGAATTAAGACTTATTCTATGCATCTGCTCTCCCACAATATGGCGCTGGGGAGGAGTAAACTTCTACGCAGCTGCCTCTTGTCAACTTGACTGATGAGCTGCAGGAGCTGATCCTGCTCCTGATTGGAGGAGAGCAGCGTGCTCGGCGTGTGGGTAGCAGAGTTGGGATTGGTGGAAGAGGACTATAAAGGAGGAGAGAGACAACATGCACCGGGAACATCTGAAGGAACACCTGAGCAGCCCCCGAGAGAGCCGGCCGGCGGTGTGCCACTCCTCCACGGAAGCAGGGAAAGTGGCAGGGGGTACCGCCCTTCCACGGAGGTGGAGGGGTCGGCAGCCAACCCAGGAAGGACCAGCAGCAAACCCGGGAAGGGCCGAGCAGACGAAAGAACAGTGCAGGGTCTGGTGTCGTTCCTCCGCGAGTGGGGGAGCGACATGTCTCTCTCTCTCCCGCCACCCCTCTCTAACTCTGCCTTTCAAATAAATGACTGAATGTTTTTTTAAAAAAAAGATAAAATTTTTCACCTCAACTTATTCCTGTTGCTTCCTTAGTGTGTGGCGACATTCATGGACAATTCTTTGATCTAATGAAGCTGTTTGAAGTTGGAGGATCACCTAGTAACACACGCTACCTCTTTCTGGGAGACTATGTGGACAGAGGCTATTTCAGTATAGAGGTAAGAATTAAACTGGATGTGCTGGAACTGTAATATTGTCTTTAAAACAGTGTTCATTCCATTCTTAAATAGAAGAAATTAAAAGTGAATACTGGCAGAATTTATAAGCCTTATTACTTTCACGTGCATGTTTGAACTGATACTAGAAGGATTCCTTTTTTCAAACCAGTAGGAAAAATGACGTGTAGAAGAAGAAAGCGATATTTAGCAAGCTTTGCAAATAAGTTAAATGTTTACTAACCTTTTCTCTTTGAAGTGTACAGGCTACAGGCTATATAGAAATGACCTAAGTTGCTCGGCCCCTAAACAGCGTTTGGATTAGCTGACGTTAATTCTAAGACCGTAAGCTGCTCTTAGGTGAACTGCCCATGATAAGTAAGCAGGCACGTAGCTTCCTGGGGGAGTGGTTTCTGGTACTGCTGTGCAGAGTACGCAGTTAATAAATGTGCACCGAGAAAAGTGAATCGCAGTTAACTGAGAGAAATCCGCTTGCTTTCATGTATCTTGAAAAGTTCTAGGGGCCGGCGCCATGGCTCACTAGGCTAATCCTCCACCTGCGGTGCCAGCACCCCGGGTTCTAGTCCCGGTTGCTCCTCTTCCAGTCCAGCTCTCTGCTGTGGCCCGGGAGTGCAGTGGAGGATGGCCCAAGTGCTTGGGCCCTGCACCCGCATGGGAGACCAGGAGGAAGCACCTGGCTCCTGGCTTCGGATTGGCGCAGCGCTGGCCATAGCGGCCATTTTGGGGGGTGAACCAATGGAAGGAAGACCTTTCTCTGTCTCTCTCTCTCTCACTGTCTAACTCTGCCTGTTAAAAAAAAAAAAGAAAAGAAAAGAAAAAGAAAGAGAAGAAAAGTCCTAGGACCATGTTCAGAATTAACAGCAGTGAGAAGCTGGTCTGTGTAGATCACGTCAGAGCCCTCTGCAGTAGCAGAACCTCAGGTCCTAATGTAGAACCTGATGCAAGGATCTGAGTGCAGTGGGCCCACACAACATTTGCATCCAGTGTCGGTTGATTTACGTCTGTGTGTGTGGCAAATAAGAAACAGCGCCTTTTGCAACAGTGTGGGCAGTTGAATTTGTGATGTGCTACAGAACAAGCATGAGATGAAGCGGAGCCTGCCTGCTGTTTTGCTGTCTGGAATCCTGTGTGGGACTCTCCATACTAGGTGTGCTTCTGCTGGTCACAGGTGTGCTGTGTCATTCATGTAGCACCACCCGCTCGATGCTCAGCCCAAGAAGCAGGAAGGATACACAAGGCAGTCAGTGGGTTCTGCTGCTTAGACGGGCAGTCTAAATCCACGCGTCAGGAGAGCTCAGTGTCATCTCCACTTAGTGCTAACTGCGAGCGCAGAAGCTGATGGTGTAAGCTGACAGACTAAGCCCCTTTCCCTGCTCTCTAAATCGGTCCCGGGACGGGTGGAGATTGTGTCTGCAGACTGTATCGCTGAGAACCTTCCTGCCTCCTTCACATCACGTTCAGCACAGAGTACGTCGGAAGCACGATGTCTGAGACACTGAGCCAGCATGCTTGCTGGCATGAAGAGGGTTTAGAGGCCAGAGAGAAGAATCCAGAACCTACTGATTTTCAGTTAGGCACTTTATTTAATGAAACAACTTTTTAAAGGTAAATATTATGCTAAATTGTTTTCTGATTGTTAACTCATACAACGTAAATTAGTTTTGAAATAGTCTTAATTCATGAACACAGTCAATAAAACATAAAAATCCACAGTGGCTTTGTGCATGTAATCAGATTATTTCACACTTATGCATTTTTACCCCTCACTCATCGACAGAATTACCTGGGTGCCAACTTGGTGGCAGACTGTGAGAATAAAATAAAGAGTAAGGTTCACGTTCTCTGTAGGAGTCGACAGGATAGTGGAAAACATGCAGATGAGTAGATATGTCACTAGAAAACCAGAAGTGCTTATCTAATTATCAGCAGTGTTCTTCATGTTAGGACCTGGGGGGGATTGGACATACGGTAGGCTCTCAGTCTACATTTGTTGATGAATAACCATAGTTTGTATTTGGCTTTATCCTGCCATTTGGTGTTTGCTAAGCTATGCGGTTTCTTCTGGACTAAGTGAAGTGAATGAAAACTTTAAGGTGAAAATACTATTTCATATCAGTTTTAAAACTGAACTGTGGGACCGCTGCATTGTTACTCGGAAGTGACTCATTCATAACCCACCGAGACTGGAAGCTTCCATGGCTATAGCATAGTCCAGCAGGAAAGTGAGTCCACTTTTCCTTACTTTTGATGCCCAGGAGGAGCTTTTTGGAGGGAAGGTTTATGTTGCTTACACTTTGGAGGCTACAGCTCAGGTTGGTTGGCCCCATCTTCCTATGTATGGTGGGAGCTGGTCTCGGCAGGTGGAGCAGCAGTCACACCGTGCAGGAATCAGTGAGAACCTAGGCTGGCCACGAGCTCAAGATCATCCCCTCTCTCATGAGAAGCACCCTCTGAGGGCAAGACCCACATGACCAGAGACCTCCCTGCCCCATCTTGTAGACACCAACACTGGACCAAGTCTCCACACCCCTAGTTCTTCAGCCATGAAGATGTCAATGTTTAAACTGTCTACGTGAGTTTTAGAGAGACAGATCCTACTTACCGCAATGGCCGCAATGGCTGGAGCTGAGCTGAACTGAAGCCAGGACCCAGGAGCTTCTTCCAGGTTTCCCACATGGGTGCAGGGGCCCAAGGGCTTGGGCCATCTTCTACTGCTTTCCCAGGCCACAACAGAGAGCTGGATTGGAAGTGGAGCAGCCAGAACTCAAACCAGCGCCCATATGGGATGCTGGCACTGCAGGTGGTGGCTCTACCCCACCCTACTAAAATGCTGATCATATTCCTTTCTATAGTCTTTTTTACACAGCATTGTACTAAAAGCATTTTTCTCAGTAGTTAAAGTTTTTCTGAAACTACAGTTAATGATATAAAATGCCATGATTTATTTCATCATTACTCAATCTTTCTGTAGCAGGTGTAGTTTTATAAACACAGCTATTTCTTATTGTCTACCCTTCTCCTTCTTCCTTGCTGACAAGATCCTTATTTTACTCACATAAATGGAGTGGGGATCGCAGGGCGAATCTTTGCTCTTGTGTACAGAGACAAGACACCAAGGCCTTCTAAAAGAAGTAGTCCATTATTTATGCCAGCAGAAGGCCCAGGTGGAATTTTTATCTAAAAACCTGAGCCGGGATATTTCCAGGGGTATTTCCTTATATATGGTTTTAGCCTCTTTGTCTCTCTTATATGGCTACATGCGTACATCTGATTGGGTATTCTAGTATTATGTGGCCGCCACAGGAATTTGATACAATATTGTGCCTGCGTGTGTAGTTACCGATGACTTTTTTTCCACCCACAAACTGAGGCGTAAGCTGTCCAGCAAGGGTTAGCACCATTGCTGTGTATGAGCGAGCGGAACCGGAAATGGTTTCGTATGAGCAGAAAGGGGCTACAGCTGAAGCATTCATCGGCCAGCAGCTAACAGCTACACTTCCTTCCCACGGTGCCTCCCTTTCTCTCCTTCTGACCTTGGGAGGGCTTCTGCCACAACTTTACTGGTACTGTGTAAAGCTCATTAAAAGACAGAAGCCCCTACCACACTCTCAGGGAAACTCCTTTCCAGAAAAGAACCTTTGATGTCACCAGAGACTGCATTCTGCTTGGTCTGCCCTGATGGAGGCAAATGCATTTCCTGTCTAATGATTGCTCTAGACATAAACAGATCCTCCTTCAGCCAGTCATTCATAGGAGAAACTTTGTTCTATTGTTTTAATTTTATTTACTCATTTTTGAAAAATCTTTGTGGGTGAGATCTTGCAAGGTGGAAGCTGTGGGCCCCGTTCTGTCTTTTCACATTTGGGTGCACGTGTTACGGCAGCCATTTTGTGCTAAGGGTGAACCACAGACCCAGAGTTAAGGGAACCTGCTTCCTTGGTGATGACACTGAGCAGGCAACGAAACCTAGACCCACTCAGACTCCTCGCTTTGTGGGACATCTAAGCGTCTGCTCGGCTTAGGCAGCATGGAATTGGATTCTGTGTTATTTTGTATTGCAAATGGTACGAGGTTGCTGTCCAGCTTTTTCCTGTTCCGCATGCTGTTGAGGTGCACGTCCTTTTGAATATGTCTTCGATGGCAGTTCTGATATTTCCTCAGATGAGATTCCTGAAGTGAAGTAACTGAGTTAAAGAGAAGAACATTTTCAGACTTTTGATACGTATACCAAATTGTTTTCATAAATTCTGATTTCACTTATTTTTTCCTTATATGCCACATAATTTTCTTACCTTGAGCCTATAACAGAGTCAAGGCAAGATGTTTTCTTTTTTCATTCCCAGAACAACTGTTGATCTTTCATGAAGTGACGTGAGTTTTGGTTAGTACACCTGGGACTGATGCAAATGTCACTGATAAAACAGCATAGCAGGGCTGGCGCTGTGGCATAATAGGTAAAGCTGCCACCTGCAGTGCCGGCATCCCATATGGGCGCTGGTTCAAGTCTCAGCTGCTCCACTTCCAATCCAGCTCTCTGCTGTGGCCTGGCAAAGCAGTGGAGGATGGCCCAGGTGCTTTGGCCCCTGCACCCATGTGGGAGACCTGGAAGAAGCTCCTGGCTCCTGGCTTTGGATCAGCCCCACTCCAGCCTTTGCAGCTATCTGGGGAGTGAACCAGCAGAGGGAAGACCTCTCTCTTTCTCTTTCTCTCTCTCTCTCTCTCTCTCTGCCTCTGCCTCTCTGTAACTCTGCCTTTCAAATAAGTGAACAAATATTTAAAAAATTAAAAAAAAAACCAGCATGGTAGAGTTCACGTTGATTTCTCATAGTAAAAAGTCTTTTGATATTCTTCGTTCATTTGTACCTATTCTTTGTACCTGTTGTAAAGTGCTTCCTGTGTGGTGAAGGAAGCCAAATTTTAGTTTCCTTGATTTTGTGAGAAAAGAGAATTGAAAGGAGCGTTTTCAGCATGAGATACGTTGC